AGGGCAAAAATGAAGTACGAAGGATAAAGGTAAAGTGTTTATCGGTTGCAATAAACCTGCGGAGATGAGTCTGAAAGCTGCTATCAATGTTAGATCAAAATTTTATTTATCATATCAATTATTAAGTCAACCGTTAGATCAACTGTTAAGTCAACTGTTAGATCTACCATTAAATTAACCGTTAGATCAACTATTATATTAACCGTTATATCATATAGCATTCATTATATCAATCATTAGGTCAACTGTTATATCAACTGTTAGATCAACTGTTATACTAACCATTATATCATATCACCTATTAAATCAACCATTATCAGCCATTAGATCAACTGTTAGATCACAACCGTTAGATCTCAGCCGTTATATCATATAATACCCATTACATCAACCGTTAGATTAACCGTTAAATTAATATGCACTCCTTGCATTAATATTTACCCCTTGCATTTATCCAGATAATTTATCAGATAATCCGATCATCCATCTATTTATCCATTTTATCCATTTGATATCTGGATATCCATGGATAAATGGATAAATGAATAATGGATTGGAACTCTACTAAAATTAGTTAAAAATTCAGTGTTTAAATTTTTTCAAAATTTGCACAGGCCAAATTTTGAAAAAAATTTGATCTAAAAATAGCCAGAAATTTAATAGATAAATTTTTTTAAATTTGGCTTGTATAAATTTTAAAAAAATTCAATCTAAAATTAGTTAGAAATTCAATAGTTGAATTTTTAAAAATTTGGCTTGGGAGAATTTTAAAATTCAATCTAAAATTAGCTAGAAATTTAATGATTAAATTTTACAAAATTTATCTAGACAAATTCTAAATAATTTTAGTTTAAAAATAGCCAGAAATTCAATGGTTGAATTTTTACAAAATTTGATAAAAATATGTATACCCAAGAATAGTTGATCACATGTTTAGAAGAAAAATTAGGCCAGACTATACATGCTATAAAAATTATTTTGACATAATTTTTATCTGAATTTTGATATGTAGCAATGCCTAAATCTAAAATTTATGCTACAACTTATGACCAATGCCTAAACCTAATGTCTAAAATCATTTATAAGTGCTGAAAATAATAAAGTATAATTGATATAGTGCTAAAAATAATAAAGTATAATTAAAAGTAATAATATATAAAGTATAATTGATATATTATCAGTTGATATAGTGATTTTAATTGATATAATAAAAACAAAAAAAAATAGAGGTGTAGCGACTTAGTGTAGTGGTCTAGTCGTCACCCTCTTCAAGTGGCAGGTCTAGAGTTCAAATCCCATGAACGACAAATTTTGAAAAATAGCCTGTGTTACGGTTTACGGTTGTCGATTATCGGTTAGATCTAGAAATCTGTAATCTCGGTCA